TGAATAAATATTTGCGTCTCTTGGGTACCTGAATGATTGCTGATATTTGTTTGTTTTTAATATTTCAAATGATGATATGAGAATTTTAATAAGTGATATATTTTATATCACCATATACTTTATTTTTTATGCTTTTGGTGGTATTTTCATACCATTGTATGTGTTGGTAATGTATACTTCGGATGGATTAGATATGAGGGATGTTGATTGTGTATCTATCATCGTCCCTTCGGGGACATCCGATAAAATTGGAACGATACAGAGAAGATTAGCATGCCCCTGCGCAAGGATGACACGCACAAATCGAGAAATGGTCCAAATTTTTTTCTACCCGAAATCGTCTTCGCCAAAACCCTAATTTCTTTTGTGGATATCTGCACTGTAATTTCACCGGCGGTCGACAACCGGAGAGGCCATTGGTGGATTTCGGGAAGCCATATACCTGCAATTGATCTTCGAAGCTTTATTGATTGTGTATGCGCTGATGTGATTCCGTCCTATCTCCAGTTCCTTGGTTCATCTTCATGTGCACCAGGTATTGTTGTATAAAGCTAAATTAGTATGTTTTCGCTTATGCCCTGATGTGTGATTAAACATTGCAACTTCAGTTTCTTAGTTAATTAAATTGCTCGAAGAGAAATCCAACAGCTTCACTCACATCTTTGCTCAATTGCTCTAGGATAACAGTACCACATCAATTTGGGTACCAAACTTGTTGGTTCTGGAGTGGCTCATACAAATACAAGTATCTGTCTACTGTTTGTTTGCTAGAATTTCTAAAAGAAAATGTCTTTCTTTTGGTTACAATGCTTCTGCAGTTTTGCTGCATTATGAAATGCTTGATAATGGGGTTGTTCCTCATATTTTATTTTTACATTCCGATTTGCTCTCAAACACATTAGTTTTTTGTTCTCAAATGCATAGATAGGTTAGTTTAACCATTTGACTCCTTGTTGATACTAAATAATCTACGTACCCAGGTCATTTTTAGTACAATACAATATAAGTGCTGCTTCTTTTGGCCATTTCATTTTTGCTAGTTTGGTAATACTATTGTTTGTGATTTTTTTAGCAATTGTTACAACTGATTTTAAAATTGTTATATGTAAATATCAAACTATTATAACTACATTAATATGGAAGAATCAAAGAAGTAACAAATCTCAGGATCAAATTGGTTCAAAAACATTTCACAAATCAGGACTGTAAATCGATTACTCTTGTGAACATCTTAACATGAACCGATCAAGAAAAGATTATAAACAAAAACTGAAAACTTACTAACACATGATCTAAAACACCTGTACGGGTATTGATGTGTTTCTTTCTCTCTCTCAGATGGAGCGTATTATGTTGTAGATGAATTGAGGTAATCAAACAGATCCAGGAACATATATATCTTCAAGTCACAGCTATGATTTGAGAGTTGAGTCAACTGTTCACAAGAGAAATTGATTGGTCATGAACTGTTCTGGAATCAACTTGATCTTGAAATTGATTAGTTCTATAGTATGAATTGCAATTTTCCTATACAACAAGTAGATTGAAAGTTAGTGAAAGTAAGGAGGGAGGATGAGTTAACTTTGTGATTCAAATCTTGAATTGATACTGACCCTGTGATTGTTTAGTGCTAATTGTCATTATATCCAAGGCTAGGCTAGGAAAGGTTTTTGTATAGACTTGCAGATTGTCTGGAAGCCTGTAGCTGTAGGTATAAAATCCAACAAGTGGTGTGGTGATTGGTGAATGTGGATGATAATGGCTTTTGCAGACTGTAGTACCAAAGACAAAATCTCTTGTCGATTGGTTGTATCTGAAGTAAGCCTTGCACTCATTCAAAATGAGTGAGGATAAGCATCTTAATAATTAATTGATGTCATGCCTTCAATAAGCTTATCCTTGATCTTGAAAATATTGATGTGAAATTAGAGGATGGGGTCAGGCTTCTATACCAAAGAGTTATGTACATATCAAAGAAACATTGTTTTTGGTAGAGAATCATTCTCATATGATGAAGTTCAATCGGCTTTGAACCAACTCTAAGGAGTTGAATGGAAAGACAAGATAAAAAACAGAGTTCATCCGGTGATTTTTGGGCTTTTTGGGTAAAGAAACTTTTAAAAACTAGCATTAGATGTAACCATTGTACTTTTAATGAGATGACACGCTAGGAGGATTTGTCCTTAGAGATGAAAGGTTTTTGTATAGACTTGCAGATTGTCCAGTAAATCGTTGTGTTTTTTGTATGGAATATGAACTATGTAAATCGTTGTGTTTTTTTGTTTTTTTATCTCATCTTTACTCTGCCTTTTAAAAGCATAACCCTTACTTACAATGGCCACCTGAGGGCTGTTGAATGTTGATAGTTCTATAAAAGTATTTTAAATACATATTACTAATAAAAATATTAGAAAACATGTTTGCTCGTTGTAACTTACATTACCTTTCAAACATATTTGTTCGTTTTTAGTTTTTTTATGATATGTGAAACTTAAAATTGAGTAATTCTTGGTTTGTTACTAATTTATGAAACAAAATATCCTACAAATAGATAACTTCATTACATAACGAAAAAATTAGCACAACCTTTTTTTCATACTATTTGTTATAAATACTTAAGCCTTCAAAGAAACAGTAAAAAAATCACACACAAACAAACATCCAGAAGAAAGACTACATAAATCAAACCACCGTGCATTCGAGTTCAAGTAGCAAGAATTCCTTTCAGTGCATTGCAGTAGCCCAAACACAAGGGAAAAACAAAACACGATTATAAAATGTCATTTTAGCAAAACAAGAAAAAGGGTTATTTCTTCCTGGGATAAAATTTATGCAACTGCGTCTAAGAAAGCTCTTCCAGGTTGACGATTTGCAAGAGGCCCATGGCATCCAAGAAGCTGCATCATCATCATCATTACAATCAAAACGTTCCTCATATTAGATAATATAGACAAAAAACAGAAAGAGATGAAAAAGAAAGCAATACCTTAGCATTAACACCATCAGACATGATTCGGTTCTCAGATTTCCACTGAACATAGTCAGTACGACTG